AAAAAAAAAAAAAAAAAAAAAAAAAAAAAAAAAAAAAAAAAAAAAAAAAACATATAATAAGTTAAAAATAAAAAATAAAATTCAACCATGAAGAAGCCCATAAGATAGAGTCATAAGCAAAATGGCAGCTTCTCTTTCATCCTGCGGGAAAACTCGTTGGTAAGTTGAAGAAATCTCGCTCAATCGCCTCCCCATTTTCACATCTTCAACACAAAGCTTCCTTCTCCCTCCGCCCCCAGCGGCGGAAGCGGCGGCGGCGGCGGCGGTGGTGGTGGTGGCGGCGACCACTTCTTTGTGTTTTCTCTTCATTGTCGCCGCTGGTTTTATTATCGCCTTGTTTGTTTTCAAAACTACCGCCGTCGAGTTTCCGCCGTTCGCTGCTTCCGCCATTGCTCGTCTTGCTTTTCTCTGCCGGATTCCGCAGGCGTTACATAATGACTGCACCAATTGGTATTATATTATATAACTCCAAATTTTACAAACCCTAGAAATTCATTCAATTTTGCAACCCAACAAATACATGCATACATACATATATATATATATATATAATGAATTTACCTTGGGACCTCTTGGGCCGCTTCTCCAAAGGGGAGTTTTTGTGGTGTTGCAATCGGAACAGGTTCTGATAATTGCGCCACCACCGTCGTTTAACGTGTTTCGTTTGTTGGTCTGATCAGACGGGGATGGTGACGGTGAGGGTGACATCGGGTTGAGATCTTGGAAATTCCGGTGGGCATCGATCGTCTTGGTGGGTGTCTCGGTTTGGTTATAATTTATAACCAACCTGATCTTGGAAGACGAAGAAGAGGAAGAAGACGACCACTTGACCGAATCGTTATGGTTATGATCATTGCTTGAAGTTTCACTCTTCCAAATTGTAAAGCTTAGGCCAGTTTCCACTTCTTGATTGCTTTCATGAACTTGATCATCCTCCTGAGAACAAAAAAATTTAAAAAACAAAACAAAAACAATTAAGGGTTTCTTCCAATTTGTAGGGATGTTGGAAATTTCAAAACCCTTTTCGATTATCAATTCAAATATACGTAGAATTTTAAATCACGGGTCATGAAAGTCATAACAAACACACTCTTATTGATAGTCGCCCCTGAGTGGGGTGACTATCATGTCATACCTGGTGATGGAACCCTAACGAGTGAGGATGATCAGGGTTGGAACGATGGAGATCGGGAAAGAGCGGGAAAGAAAGCGGAGAGGAGGGAGAAGAGTCGAGCGGGGTGGTAGGGAAGAAGAGATGACGATCGGAGGAGGAAGAGTAGCGAAGAAGATCGTCGTGATTGGAGGGAAACGAGTCTCGATAAGGCGGAGCCATGGCGGATAAGGAGAAGAGAAAACCCAAAGGAGGAGATGCAATGGTGAAGGGAGTTATAAAGGGAGGGAAGGGAAGCTGGGCCTAGGGTTAATAAATGAGAGACATTCACGTGCCTTTCAAGACAAAGAAAAGAACAAAACTTAAGAAGACAAGAGCCAGAAATTTGAATGAGTGGCATTCTGTTACACAGACCCCAATTCAAAATTTTGAATTTCTCCTTTTTTTTTTTTCTTTTTTTTTAATATATATATATATATATTAAATAAGGTTAAATTTTGAATTAAACTCGATAAACTTATTTAGTTAAATACATTCTAGTTGTCGCGATGAACGGTCCTGATCTCGAGAGAGATATTATAGTAAGATAAGAGGTGTTCATAGACGAAAAATATAATATATATATATATATATTATATTATATTATATGATAAGCATGGGAGAGGAATAGTTGAGAGTGTGACAGGAATGTTTTGACATTTTATTTGCAGTGGATGAAAGAACATTAGGGATTTAAGGGAAATAGCATTTAATGCTGCCAGAGAGAAAGGGCCAATTCAACGCCATTTCCATACCCATTCCTTTTATGTTTTTTTTTTTAATTTTTTTTTTTAAGTTTAATAATTTTTTTAAAAATTTAAAAATATTTTTTTTTAGAATTTAAAGGTATTATTAAAAATTTTAAAAATTGGAAAGTATATATTTTTTTAAGAGAAGGTTCAAGATTAAAAATATTTTTATTAATTCAGACACTTGGAGAGGATTCTATTTTTCTGTACTAGAATGTTATGGGGAAAATATCTTTTTTGGTCTAAGAAAATTACAATTATACCTATTTGATTTTTTAGGTAAAAATTTAATTATTTTTATTTTTGAGTTTTTTTTTTATTCATAAATTTCAAGACTTTTTCTTTTTTGAGTTTTAAGTTTTTGTTTTTATCATTTGTGTTAGTTTTCTATTAAATCATTTGAAATAATTAAATTAAATTAGTTTTGAAATTAATTATAAAATTTCACGTCATAATTTCTTAATTAATTAACTGAAAACTAATTTAAAAAATTAAAATTTATAAACTCAAAATAAAAATAAAAACATTTTTAAATTTAAGGTCGATCTAAAATAAAAACTTTTTTTTTTTCCCTCTTTTTAGTGTGTTTAAATATATTGCCAAATCATCGATCTCGAAATCAGGTGTGGGACCCACAAAACTTTGGCTTTTTTCCGCTTACCTGCCACGTAAGCTAGTTATCATCTAGACTGTTCCTCGAAAAACACATAATGTATTAATTTTTTATTTTCTAAAACCATAGAGCCGAAATTAAAATTTATTAATGTGTTAAATTGAATTAAGGGTTTGATTTACTCAAATTAATTTAAACAATTATTCAAAATATTAAATTATAAAATTAGTTATAGTTAACTAATATAAACTATTATTAATTAATTAATTTATAAACATATATTTTTATGTCATTATTGTTTTACAATATTATATAATTTATAATTAATGATATTGTAAATTATAAAAAATTAAAGAAAAATAAATAAATAAATAAGAAAAAAGGTTGAGGCGGCGTTTTGTCTTGAAACGTGTGTGGAACATGGGAAGTCATACAAACCCTAATTTTACATTTTCCGAGCTGGAATTTTGAATATAAATTATAAAAATATATAAAAATATTTTTGTTTGAAAATAAAAAAAAAGGGGGAAATTATTAATGATAAAGAATAAGGCTACGTTTGGGGTTTGTTAATCACTCGCAAGGGGTGTGTGTATGGTTGGATGGAAGGACATGAGAGGGACCCTCTCCTTCCAAAACATTACATTATCACACTTTCTTCCAAATATTTTATTTGTTTTTTCTCTCTCTAAACTTGGTCCCATCTCTCTCTTTCTCTCTCCTCTTCGATCCCACTTGGACTGTCCCCCTACTTCAGATCACGGGAGCGGTACACGTAGAATCTAAGTTGTATGTCGAGATTTGTTACATAGTTTACGATGAATAAATGTATGTATTCTTTCAAAGCTGTGAATCTAAATCTATTATCATGATGCTTGTATTGTCACTTAAGTCTCGTCGACCATCTGTGCATCGTATTTTTGGTCTCTTGCTCGCTACCCATTTTGACTAGATCTCTCGTGTTCATCCATTTGAACCAAAATGAACTAAAATTGTAAAATGGTCGTATTTTATTTGCTTGTGTTTGTTGGATGATAAAAGTCCCACATCGGCTCATTTAGCGAATGATCATTGGTTTATAATCAATTAATACTGTCTCCATTGGGATGAGGTTTTTGGGAGTCCTATTTAAATAAATAAATTATTATAATAAAATAATGTTGGATGATGGGCTTACATTCAAGCCCAATAGCTAAGGCATAGGCTTTGTCTTCTACTTAGTTGGGCCATAAAATCTAAGCCCAATGGGCTTTAATGACAGAACGAATTTGTGGGCTTAAATTGTCGTCGTGGACGGTTATGGGCCCGTCAATGAAAAAGTTTCGTAATTCATTCACTATATTTTATATAAATTAATATAATAACATGAGATATTTTGAAACTGCAATTAAAAAAATAAAATAATTTATTATTTTAATTTTATTTTATGCGTAATATAAAGGAATTTAATTTAAGCAAATATATATTTATATATTTCCACGTATTAATTTCTCTTTCTCATATGGAATTAATTTTGTATTGTTTATATGCTATTTATATTTTAAATATTTATACTAATTTATAAATTTATATTTTTCTTTGAGACCGAATTAAGTAGTATATTGATTATGTCATAGAGTACTAACGAACGGAACAAAATCATGGATGCATAAAATACGAGTCGTTGAAAGAGACAAATGACACATCTCAATCATATTAATCAACTAACTGAATTCCTATAGATAAATATTTACTGTGTGGATATTTTGATCGATTTTAATTATGTCGAACAACAAACAAAAAGAACGTGCTTATCTCAAACAATCAGTTATTGAAAGCGACACATAACATATCTCATACTATAGTGATCGACTAACCATATCCATATCGATAAATGCTCATTTTTTTAAAAAAATATGTGTATAAAGTTTCAAACATCATCATTATCCATTACTCCTAGTCAAAATGAGCTCGAGCGAATCCATATCTCATTTAATAGACTCGTAAAAGAACATTCATTGAATATAAGTTATACGCTCGATCGAAACGTTGACTGCTAGATTAGATTGCACTAAATATATATAAAGAAAGTAAAAACACGGATATTAATAGATTTACCTACGTAATGATATACGCTCTGATCGTCTCTAAATATATTCTCGAATACTGAATAGATAACCGAAAAGTAAGGGTATTATTGTAATATCACATCAAGTAGACGTAGTGATTTTCAACTCTTTTTTTTTTGTAGGTTGCATGAGTAGGAATGACGCTGAAATGTTTTTCTTCTTATCCACTACTACATATCAAAGAAAGGCGATCCCAAATTTAGTTGTTTTGAAAGCCACATGACAGCTTCTCTTATTAATCAATTGCACGTTGACATATGGCTCCACTCAGACAATGACACGTGGGGCCCTTTAATTTAATTCTCTCCCCGTTTTATATTAAAAAATATATATTTATCCATTTCCATAATTGAAAATTACTAAAAGAGCTTACTCATTAACAAGATTTATAGGAACAAAGTTGTTTTTGGAAAAGAAAAAAAAAAAAAAAAACCCTTTTTACTTTTTCATAATAAAATAATTGGTGGGTAATTATTTTATAAAATAAAATAAAAAACTTTTGATATTTTAATTTTATTTTAGTCAAAATTGAAGAGCCCAATATTAAAAATAAAAAATTTAAAAGAGCTTTTAAGAGAGGGAGTTGGACCATACCCAAACCCATAACACCACCTCCATTTTTCGGGTTTTGGTAAAGAGCCAAACTTATTCTTCCAGTTAGGTGAGAAGGTAGGCGGTTGATACGTATTGTTGTTATTTGAATTTTGATGAACGTTCTTAAAAATATTACGTCTAAAATATTTCAGACACTAATTTAGTTGAAAAAATGAATGCTCCACAGATCGTGTAGGTATAAACTTAGAAAAAAATGTTTGTTGTAACTTCAGTCGTACCTAATATTGATCCACATTATTAATTAATTAATTAATTCCCATGCTAACACGTCCTCTGTCAATTATTATATGATTTTCTAAAGCAAAAAATAAAGGGAGAAAAGTATATGCTAATAATTGATGATATTTTAGAGTAAGGGTGAAGGATAGTTAAGATGGTAACAACTTGCGTGTGGTATCGAACATTAGAAGGCCCTTTGTGGTCCTTTCATGGTCTGCTTTTTCATTATTATATGCTTTCTACAATAAATATTTATTTATTTATTTGGGTTATTAGATAATTTCCAAAATTAATGGTTTATTTGTTTTAATAATCAATGATCGTGACATATCATAATCATTATCCATTTTCACATAAAATATTTTATTATTATTATTATTATTATTATTATTATTAAGAGGAAAGTTCTATTTTTATTTATTTGTTGGTTAAGTAAAAATATGTGATTTGAGATATGGACACGAGTTGGGCTTGAGGGAATAAAGTAAAGGTAATGGGCCCAGCCCATATAGTAGAAGGGTAAATTAATAGTAAAAATAAATATAATATTATTTATTATTATATAGATAAGGAAGTGGGGCCCATTTTCTTAGGTGGCTGCTGATGCACGCATTTCTCTCTATTCACACATAAAAAAAAAAAAAATAATAATAATAAAAAAAACTTGTGGTGGAAAATTGGGCGTATTTAATTTTGATAATTATAAATAATCAATAAAATCATTTAAAACATATTTTAAAAAATTGATGGGTAGAAATCGATGTAACAGCTTGTGTATCAAAATTGGAGCATGACGCTAATTAACGTTTATTTTTAATTATTCTTTTACATTATAATGATTGTTACGATGAAATGTCGTCATCCGTCTATAATATATTTTGTTTGTGACGTTTAAAAAATGTCATTTTATAAATAAATATTTTAATTAATTTGATT